GTTTCGCCCGGGGCGGCGCTCCTGAGAACATCGCGGATGTTCTCGATGCCAGCCCCAATACCACCTCCTCCGGGGGATTTTTCTTCAGCGACTAAACACTACTCTCCAACTGCCACGATCAATCACCCGACGCACCTTACCGTGACGACGACTTCTGCGTCTAGAGTCACTGGCGATTGGGGTTTCAAGCGGCCCTTCCCGCTGAAGACTACGATGGACACCACTTATCCGCTCGTGCGGATCAGGCAGGTCGATTCTCCGGAGCACGTCACGGATTTCCAATCGGCTTCAGATCATACAATCACTATGAGGAAATTCCATGAGATGAACCTACCGCTTTCCGTAACTAGTCCCAATCTCAATGACCCGTACCCGCATATCAGACATCCAAAGTCGGTCTTTGAGGATGATTCCGACGTGACGGCGCTGGATGAGCAGCAAAAAGTGGAGTTGGCGAACAAGAGGTGGAAGTTTACGGGACCATGGCTTGCCGGAATGGTGGATGGTGAATTCAGAAGGTTCCTTGAGAGGAAGGTGCGAGGAAAACGGGCGGAATTCCGCGCGTTCTTGAAGAAGACTCTCGCCGCCGAGATGACGCAGAATCAAGCGCTTAAGGCGAGGGAGGCCGGGGAGCCGGAACCACCCGAGGTTTCCGCCAGCGACATCACGGACGCCCAACTGACAGACTATTTGAGAGAGCTGAGGCAAGAACGTATGATTTTGTATAACCTCGTTGGCCGGTTCCTCGACCTTGCCCCGGTCGACCAAGTTACCGAATTACGACACCTTGGCGACTTGCGTCCAGGGAAACCAATGACGCTCGATCGCGCCAGCCCCTACGGTGCGCATGGTCCCCCAATCACGCACCCTTCAGCCGGCCTTTCATATCTGCGCACCCGAAATTTCCAGGAGAACCATCCCGTGTACGGACCTCAGAAGCATCACGCTCCTATCGAAGCCAGAGTCGTGAAGCCTACAAACGTCGCCACAAACTCTTGGAGACCTAGCATTGGAGTAGCTGGCTTCATCGCCAGCACACCGGCCGGGGACACGACATTCAACTCGGCGGGGATGAGGAATCCGACCAAGCTCGCCAAGGCTATACACCGGCTCGAGCTTGACAATTACGGCGGGTCGAAGGTGTACGTCGAACCTACCACGGCTATAGTCGACTCTTCCGGAAGTATCTGCATTACCATAGAGGATGCGGACGGGCAAGCGGTGGAAGTGCAGAAGGAGTTGGTTGGCGAGGCTACAGTGTTCGAGGACGAGCTCAAGGCCAAGGAGCAGCCCGAAGTCCCGCGCAATCCGAGAAATGTGCAGCCTACCTTCAGTGCGAGACCGGGAAGTCGCATTCCCGGCAGCGCGAGTAGTTACGGCCTTCCAGGAGTGCCCTGGCCAGACAAGAGGAACAGGTCCTATTACGGGAACCGTCCAGATGCTAGCTTCTGAATGGGAACAGAGTGTCGAGGGACGCCATGTACTATATCGTGTAAACGCTAGGTTTTGCAGGATTTCTGTACATACTAAATGATAAATAGCCTCCAATATAAAGATGCACTATAAATTGCTGCGATCGTTCTTCAAGTTCCCCAATGTCCTTTGTCTCTGCCCTAGCCCCTGCTTTGTGAGTTTACTCATGCTGCTGCTGCGCGGTACGTACATGTACTAGTACGCGGCTGACCAAGTGGCTGTTGCATTGTGACAGCTGGCCAACACTTCCAAACCAAATGAAATTTGACCCACTTAATTGATCCAACGAAATCACACTATTCGGTCTGCCCTAGGACCCGCTCAGAATTTACCGAATTTTCCCCCACACAGATTCTGCCCACATGCACTCCAATAATTCTTTTTCGAGACGGCCTTCAAGAGAGCAACACTTCACAATTCACGGACTTCCTTCAACATCAAGCTCTCTTCCACTAACCCACAGTCAACACCGCCAAGATGGGTCGCGTTCGCACGAAGACTGTCAAGAAGTCCGCCAAGGTCATCATTGAGCGATACTACCCCAAGCTCACCCTCGACTTCGAGACCAACAAGCGAGTCTGCGATGAGATCGCCATCATCGCGTCCAAGCGCCTGCGCAACAAGGTCAGCAATTCCCGACGGCGTCTATCAGACCTCATCACACAATGCGATGATCGCGGGAGTCTAGTTGAATTTGGACTTGGAGCTAATGTCGGATGTCTTCTAGATTGCCGGCTACACCACCCACTTGATGAAGCGAATTCAGCGAGGACCCGTCCGCGGCATCTCCTTCAAGCTGCAAGAAGAGGAGCGTGAGCGCAAGGATCAATACGTCCCCGAGGTTTCCGCCCTCGACTTCACTCAGAACACCGAGACTGGCCAGCTCGACATCGATGTTGAGACTAAGGACCTGCTGAAGCACCTTGGCGTATGTTCTATCCTCGTTGCGACAACGTACAATCTGTGGGAACTATTTACTGACGATAATCGAATACAGTTCGACAACGTGCCCGTCAATGTCGTCCCCGTCACCCAACAGCAGACCGCTGAGCGACCCCGACGATTCGGCGACCGTGCCCCCCGATAGGTTAGCGTGGTACAACGGCGGATTGATTGATTGAGGAATTGGTATGGTGGTTGATTTGGGCAACTGGCATCGGACTCACGGCTTCACGGCTTACGGCGTATTGCTACTACGTATGAAACGATAGTAGGTACTTTCTAGATCCGCAATTGACGAGATCTTCCCACACAAGGTGTCCCCGATTCTCCGGCGCATGCTGGAGATGACGGTTGATGGCCAATTTTTACTTCTTCCTGCTTATATGTGATTTGTTCTTGATCCAAATTCACCTTTGGTGTGGTTTGACGGCCCCCTACAGGTCTCTTACGAAATGGTAGGCATACGTGAGGCAATCATAGGAAGAGTTAGTGTCACACATATAAGGCGCTATTTGCTTGCTGCAAATAGCGATGTCGCTTTTGCAACAGTTCTTTTAATAACTTTTGACATTTTGAATTTGCAGCTGCTCAGGCAGGCCTAACTCCTAGGGGTATCTCAAAACATGCTAACCAGAACGCCTGAAGTATGCTGATGATAATGACTACGTTTTGTGCGGACGTTCGTAAAAGGAACGTGTGACAGACCAATTACTCTTGCTCATTATGTGTCTTGGGGCCGAACGTAGTCTTGTAACCGTCCAGCACCAGATGGTTCTCTCCATCGTTATCCAGCGAAGGCTCCCGTGCCGCCGTAGTCACGTTCTTCTCCCTAATCGTGAGCGTAACCGGCTTCGCAGCCGGCCTCTCCTTGGCGTCTCCGCGTTCCAAAGCCAGCATTCCCGCGTCCCGCGCAGCTTTGCTCTCCTTGTCCAGCTCCAAGTCCCGCAACTCCCTCGCGACCCGCTTGACCGCCTCATCGTCGTCCCCCTCCTTCCCGGCCAGCTTCGGCTCGTCGAGGAGGTCGATGCGGATGGAGGGGACGCCGGCGCGCTCGGCGGCGGCGGTCTCGTTGAGCTGGACCTTGACGTACATGGCGCGGCGGGCGCAGGGCCGGGAGCACCAGCGCTCGAGCTCGCGGCGGGGGACGATGGCGAAGTCGCGGGTGCCGTAGCCGACGATCTTGTACTCGCCGCCGGGGCCGAGGCGCTGGCGCGGGTTGGGGCAGAGCGCGTAGCCGCACTTGCCTTGGGCGTTGCGCTCGGCTATTAGGTCCTCGTAGTCGCCGGGCTGGAAGAGGCGGACTTGGGCGCGGAAGGTTTGGGCGTCGGCTGGGGAGGGGTTGGCTGCGTCGTGGGGGGGTTGGTCTGGGGTGGTGGTGGTGTTGGTGGGTGATAGGGGGAGGCGGGCTAGCTCTATTATCGAGTCCTGGATTCGGTCTTCTAGCTCGCGCTGCTGGTGGATTAGGAGGGCTTGCTGGATTGCGATCTCCCGCGCCGTGGGCTTTCCGCCGGAGGTGGTGGGCTTGTGCTCTTCTATGTGGAACGGCGAGACGGGGGCCGCGGGAGCTTTCGTTGCGGTGGTGCTGCTGGCGGCGGGTTTTTTTAGGTTGCCCTTGGGCTTTTTGGGCTGCGATGGAGCGGGTTCGGACATTTCGCTGGTGTTTATGTTGGTTATTTGGTGGCGATTGAGGTCGAAGGGGAGGTAGAGATTTGTCTGAGCTTTTGCAATTTGGTGAGCTTAAGGTATTATTACGTCGTAGGGAGTGCTTAGTAGCATCCACCGGATTTAATGATCACCTGCGGTCTAGACGGGATTGTGCAGCTAACGGGACTTACCGACTTGCCTTGTAGAACGGGCTGATATTATCTTACTTTGTTGCCTTACAGCCTGGTCACAGTCACTTTGATATTTTGTCTTGTCGAAGTTTTATCACTCGTTGTCAAATGGATTGGAAGTGGCCCAGGGAATTGAAAGCCAGTCTTTCCAAGGCGACTTCGGCCGTCAAGCCTGACTATGGGTATATCGATACTCCTAGCCCTCATGCAACATCATTTCTTCACTAGGTGCGCAGCGAAGGCCTGGATAACGCGTTTCGGACAGATACGTAGATTCAGATAGATAATTGAGCCATAGTACTAGAACCTCTGCCATCCATGGATCCTCCGTTTCTGGAATTCCCCGGAGTTGGTTGAAAGTTTTAGCCCCCTGATCCGCCAGCTCACCCATCCGGTAGTGTAGATGAAATTCGGGATTTTTACAGATATATTTGAGCCCAGCGATGTCCCTTATCTGTACATGCTTTGAGAATAGCATCGATTATCTTAGAGTATAATATTGTTCAAACTACTACTAAGTTAATCCGTAAGTTAGCTGCCATCTTAAATGCTGCGGCAACTAACTCATGAAATAATAGACAAGAATATATCATGGCGTGAGATACGCTATTATAACTCATCATTCAAGGCTTAAACAAAACAAAGAATCTCATACAGTCGAAAAATTGCGGCTTCTCACCCCATTGACGGGATAGCTACTTTGAAAAAATCGGCAAAAGTTGAAAAAGTATCGGATGTCTTCCGGGATTATGTCCTGGGTGAGGCTCGAACTCACGACCTTTGGATAGCTCACTCTTAGAGTGCTTCATGTTATGAGACCAACGCTCTGACCAACTGAGCCACCAAGACATGTTTGTTTCGAGTCCTACACTTGTACATAAACAAAGTCGCGGCGGATTCTGCATGTTCCCCGCCGCTTTGCCGAGGAACTCACGTGACAGGCGCTTTGCTTAGAAGCCAAACGGAAACGGGAACATTCAGGTGCGCGTGTGTGGTAGCGTCATTGGTCCGTGCACCTTCGACTAGCAGCATGAAGGTACCTTCGCATAGCGGGCATTACAGTTTGAAGCCAAGCCAAGCCGAACGAAACCCTGCACAACTGCATTGCATCCTTTCCCTCACATTTGATCCCACCAGGCGTCCAACCGCACCCTCAGGACCTTTCCGTCTGTTGTTAATTTAATAAATTAGTTCCTGACTATTACTGAACCTTTTCGCCTCTAGCACGAGTTCGGTCCTGAAATACAAAGCAACCACTGACGGATTGCTTTACACATACACCCAGGCCAACCTGAAGCACGCACGTCAGTCGAGTTTAGCCAAGCTTGGCCTCTGCGGTGGGTTACATCTCATCTATTGAAAAGCGATATAGGGTACAAGTTCATGCGCTGACGTCGACCTACTCCAGCCGCGCGCTGTGACAGGCTGCTTGCGAATTGCTCAGCCTCATGCGGCCCCCCTTCTACCCAATTTGAGAGTCGTGATAATATCTAGCCTTTGACTGTTTTAACTACTCGACATAGTAACGTTGTTCTATCGCCGACAGTCAGAAAACAAACGAATTTCACAGATTGTACGGTCGCATCCACTTCACTTAACGCCTACGACCCCGCCAATTGTGCGTCGAGTTCCTGAGACCCGAGTTCCACTAGGCAGCTTACGACACAACGCACCATGGCGGCCGTGCCATTCAAGGTCAAGGCCATCTACGAGTACACCTCAACACACGAAGACGACCTACCCTTTGGGATCGGCCAAATCATAACTGTTACTGATGAGGAAGACGCCGACTGGTACGCCGGTGAGTATGTTGACGACCTGGGCGTGAGGCGAGAGGGAATATTTCCCCGGAACTTCGTGGAGAAGTATGAGCCGACTGCCCCGCCGCGCCCAACGAGAACCCGCAAGAAGGAGACAGAACCCACTGCCTCGTCTCCTCCACCGCCGCCTGCCGGTCCAGCCGAGCCTCCGCCAGTGGAGGAACCTGCGGATATACCCTCAGAGGTAGTTTACGAAGAACCACGTGTTGCTTCACCGTCTCTTCCGCCTCCAACACCCCGCTCTCCTCCGGCTCCGGTTGCTCCTGTGGCTAAAGCACCCGAGCCCGCTTCTATCCCGGCGCCTGTTCCCGTCGAACCTAAAGTCCCTGAACCAACCAGTCCGCCTGCTCCTCAACCAGCACCGAAGGCTCCAGCACCAGCTCGGGCCGGCCCCCCGCCGGTGTCCGAGAAGCCCTCCAGCAACTCATTCAAAGATCGTATAGCAGCTTTCAACAAGGCAGCCGCTCCTCCTGTTGCCCCCTTCAAGCCTGGTAATCTAAGCTCCGGCGCTTCCGGCTTCATTAAGAAGCCGTTCGTTGCCCCTCCGCCGAGCAGAAATGCTTACGTTCCTCCACCTCGTGATGTACCTACCACGAAAATCTATAGACGGGAAGAGGATCCTGAGATTAAGGCTAAAGAGGCGGAATCTCTAGAGAACGCGGAGAGAGCTGGGCTCGTGCCTTCTGAAGCTCAAGCAGAAGACCAGCCGAAGCCGACTAGCTTAAAGGAGCGGATTGCTTTGCTCCAGAAGCAGCAGGCCGAAGCAGCTCAACGGCATGCCGAGGCTGCTGCCAAGAGAGAGAAACCCAAGCGTCCCCCAAAAAAGCGCACCGAAAGTGAGGAAGTTGTCACGGCATCGGCCCCGGCACCAGCAGAGGAAGCGGTCGACGTGCCACCTCCTCTAGAAAGAAAAGATACAGCTGAGATTGCTAGCAAGAAGTCCATTGACGAACCTAGACCTCCAAGGCATTCATTGTCTGTTAGAAGGAGGTCTTCCGCAGCACGTGCCGAGAATGATGGAAACGAGGCGGACATGTCGGGTGCGGGCGATACAACAGATGCGCAAGAAGATCTCACTGAGAGAGAGGACAGCGATGAAAAGTCCCGATCTCACAGGGGAACTGCCCCTGAACCCGAGATCCCGGAGGGCGAAGAGGAAGAAGCTGAAGAGGAGGAAGATGACGTTGACCCTGAAGTTAGGCGACGGGAGGAGCTTCGTGCTAGGATGGCAAAGATGAGCGGTGGCATGGGCTTCCATGGCATGTTCGGTCCTCCTGGGATGGTGCCCATTGGGGGCCCGGCACCAGCTAAGAAGCCGAAAGCATCATCAACATCTGAGCGTCGCTCAACTGAAATATCAGAAGCCCCTTCGTCACCTAAGATGACAGCTCCTCCGGTGCCTACTATGATGGCTCTACCCGGAATGGGAAAGCCGAAACAGCTAGAGGATGAATTTCTCGAGTCCGAGCATGAAGAACCAGGCGGGCAAGACTCTACTCCGGTTGTGAGTGCCCAACCGACAGGTTCATCTACAGAACGTAAGTTTGAATCCCGGCGTGTACTTAGTCTTGTTATGACTACTATACGGCGATTAACACGGCAGGCAGCTCCATCAAAAGCACCGGGTGCTCCACCTCCTGTTCCTGGAGGGCGCCCTGCACCCCCTCCGGTGCCTGCAGATTGTCAGTGTCGCCCACTTAATTCACAGACCGAATGCTAACTCTCATCCCAGCTCGACCTCCCCCTCCTCTTCCGCCGCATGCCGGCGTGACTGAACCCAGCCAAGGTTCCGAGTCCGACGACGAATTATCGGAGAATCCTCAGAGAACTCTCGAAACTCCTCGAGGCGAAGTCCCTCCTACGGGACACGTTCCCCCGATTCCTTTAGGATCTCCCACAATTCCAACTTCGCCACGGCCGGCTGGTAAACGTACTTCCTACATTGGCGAGGAGACTTCTCCGACTTCACCGACGCATCTGCAACAGAGCAAGAGGAACAGCCGCCCGCCGCCTCCTATTCCAGGCGCTGCTCCACCACCCCCTATCCAAACCCGGCCTCCGCCACCGCCACCTCCGGGCAACCCCCCGAGTCGCTCCTCTACAGCTGACGAACGGATCTTAGCCCCAATGAGGCCTGGTGCGCTGGACAATGGCGAAGAAGGGGAAGTCACCGAATATGAAGGCGACTACGACACTGATATTGCATCTTCGGTCCCTCATAAGGATGCGCTTAAGTCACATGCACGAGATTCGAGCTTTGATGATAGCACTCCTGTGCGATCTCCCGTCACCGAAGCTCCGCCGTCTTTGCCACCTCCGGTTCCTAGCGCCGCCGCCCCGAGAGGCCCACCCCCCATTCCGAACCAACCCGCACCAGGCTCAAGAGGATCAGTAGACGCGCCTCGCGCCGTCCCTCCGCCGCCCCCGCCTCCAAAAGAGGTATCATACTCGTATGACGATGACGACTATGATCCGTATAACTACAATGCCATGCAAAATCCTGTCGCCACGGCTTCTCACAGTGTAGCCATCAACGAGGAACCGACGCCTACGCCTCAATCGATCTCTGCTTACCATTCGCCGCCTCCACCTCCTCCAGTTAACCGAGGTCCCCCACCGGCACCACCGGTCAATAGGGCTCCGCCTCGAAAGTCTTTAGACGTCCAAAGGCCAGGTGGAAGAAGATCAGTCGACGCTTCGCGACCGTCAATGGAAACCGGCTACGTGGCAAATGAGGTTGACCTAGCCGGTCATACGCAATGGTGGCTCTCGCCAAACGGACTCCCTCCGGTCTTCCAAGGTAGGCGAGATATCCATACGGAAAGTGATGAGTCAACCTCTGGGACGTCAGTTACCAAAGAAGTTTTCATCCTGTTCCAAGATTATTCGCAAACCATCATCACCGTACGTTTCGACACGCAGAATCCGGCAGCGGCCCAGCTTGAGCAGCGCCATGAAGGCCCACCTCGATCCCTTCGCCAGGACGAGCTGGAGGAAGCTTACGAGCGGTTTGGTCGGTCACTAGCTAGTGCCGTTGCATCAAAGAAAGACTCTGTCGTTGGTGACGGAACTCCACAGGCCTTAATCCACGAGCTCCTTAAGCCTCTCAAAGACGCTCTATCGCCTGTAGGCACGCGCGCTTACGGCGCCCTAGTTTACGCCAACATGGCCAACGCTTCCACGCAGCTGAATGACGAAATTAGACCTGGAGATATCATTTCTATTCGCAATGCCAAGTTTCAGGGGAAGCACGGACCTATGCACGCAAAGTATTCCGCGGAGGTAGGCAAGCCGGACCACGTGGGTATCGTCTCGGAATGGGACGGCACGAAGAAGAAGGTCCGGGCTTGGGAACAAGGCCGCGAGAGCAAAAAGGTAAAGCAGGAGAGCTTCAAACTCGAGGATCTGAGGAGTGGCGAGGTCAAGATTTGGCGGGTGATGCCCCGGAGCTGGATCGGGTGGATGACGGACTAGGGTTCTCGAAGGCCATCCTGCGAATACCTGTGGCCGATAGTAATGAGGATCAGCACAGATGGGAGGCTTAGCTTCGATAGCCGGATGCGGATGCAGATGCAGCTGCCATTCTAGTCTTCTCCCTCGTACTCGTTGGTAGTAGGTTATATGTACGAGAGAGAGATGACGATGATGATGGCGAGAACGTTAATAGAATCAGAGTCTATGATATGATGCATGGAATGAGGATATTATCACGGGGGATGACATCGAGGCATTGAGGACCTAGGTAGAGGGAGAGAGAGGAAAAGATTGGGGAAGAGGGTGAACCACCCAAACTAAACCAAGCCGAGGCAAAGCATTCGCTGAGGAGCCATCAAAGTCGTTCATCTCAATGTCAGTCAGAGCTATGGATGATGTTCTTCTACCATTACAACCAAAACCAACCACTTCGCTCACGTACGTACGGCAGGGTAGCTAGCTATTGCAAACTTATTCTATAACCTCTTGGTGTTACAAACGTGTACTGTGGTATATCCCTGGTGTCTACCCGTATCTACTGATGGCATTAGTCAA